GTCGTTGGTGCGGCCAGACCACTCCACGGGGGCATCCAGGTCGCCACGGTCCTTCAGGAAGGCCAGCGCGCCCGCCAGGCCTGCGGGGAGTGTGTGTGGGTGGGTGGGTGGGTGGGTGTGGGTGTGGGTGTGGGTGTGGGTGTGGGTGTGGGTGTGGATGCGCGCACGCTCGCATCGCACGCTCCATTATCGAGCGTGTGGATGCTGAGCAAGAGGCTTGTGAGGTGGGGTGTAGGGGTGCGCAAGGGAGGTGTGAAGGGAGGTGATGAGGGCGCGCAAAATCGAGCGAGGAGCGGCCCGGCGGCTGGCGAGCAGCGGCGTGCAGCCAGCGGCGCCAGCTGGCGTGCTGTCCCTGCAATTGCCGCTGCCTCGGGCGGCGACGGCCAAAAACACATTGCTAACTGTTTGAGCCCCGCACCTGAACCGATGGCTCGCTCCCGCGTCACGCTCTCATCCTGCTTCACCTCGCCCTGCTGCTGCTGCTCGGGCGCGCCCGCCGCGCCCGCCGCCGCCGCCGCCGCCGCCTGCTTGGCGCGCAGCTTCTGCCGCATCTCGGCGGCCGAGATCTCGCCGGGGGCGCCGGAGGCGGGCACCCAGCCGGCCCACACGTTGTCGGATGCTGCAGAGGCGCGCGGGGGAGGCGGCGAGGGCACACAGGCATCCATATGAGCCAGGCGAGGCTGGGTGACAGTGAGGCAGGGAGGGCCCGGCGCTCCCCGCGCCTTCAACAGCCTGTGCTGACATCAAGGCGCCGCCGGCTCCTCTGTGCCCCTTTCCTGCGGCGCTGCCTGCCCCTGCCCCTGCCCCTGCCCTGCCATCACACCGCTCACAAGGAGCGCCAGAGGCGGGCACAGTAACTGTAGTTAGTGGCACTCACCCTTGCCGGCTGGCTCCAGGTCTGTGTCCATAGCATCAAGTCCAAAGTCGCCTTCCGCCTCCGCCTCCGCCTTGACCCCGCTGCCGCTGCCGCTGGCGCCGGCAGCCCCCGCGCCGCCGCCGCCGCGCTCCTGCGCCTCCTGCTCCTGCTGCGGGGCTGCCGCCGGCGCGCCCTCCTCCTCCTCCTTCACATGGATGGTGCGGGTGAACTCAGCCACATCGGTAAACACCAGCCCTGCAGCAGTGAGGGGGGCACTGAGGAGAGCAGTGAGGGCATCAGCGAGGGGAGCAGCGAGGGGGGCAGAGGCCGGTTGGTGGCGGGAGGGGCAACACAGGCGGCCGCGGCGCGGCACGGAAGGAGCGGGCTCTCGCCACGACGATGCCGCCACAGATGCAACAGCTGGCTAGTGGCGGCCGCGCCGTGCACGTGTACCCCGCACGGCATGGCTGCCACCAGCTGCATCCGTGGTGGGATGCCTGCACTGCACACACGAACCGCACAGGCACGGCGGCCAGTGGCCAGCGGGGCGTGGCTTTGTGAGGCTGTGGCTCCTACCTCCGTCTGCAGGCGCGCCGCCGCCGCGCGCCGCCGCCGCCGCGCGCTGCTGCTCCTCCCGCCGCTTGATCAGCTCTGCGGCCAAGTTTTCGGGGCCCTTGGGCGCCGCCGCCGCGCCCGCGGCCGCCGCGTTCTTCTGCGCAAGCTGCCGCGCCCTGCAGCACAAAGGGGGCGCGGCGCATGGCGCACCCGCGCCTGGTCAGTGCCAGGACAAGGAGCTGCGGGCCTCCTCCCTACCCCCTCCCTTGGGAAGCACGGTCGTGCACACGTGCAGGCTGGGAGTGTGAGGTAGAGTACAGACGGAGCCAGCAGGCGCTCGCTAGCAGCAGGCTGCTGCTTTCTGCTGCTGCCACACTGTCGGTAGGGGAGGTGCGCCGGTTTCATGGCAGGCTGCAACATATGGCCGGTCTCACGGCAGGCTGCAATGAATGGCTGTCACTCACTTGCTGAGGGACTGGTAGAGATCCTCGTCCTCCTCCAGCCCGCCGCCCTCCTCCTCATCTGCCGCGGCCGCGTCGGCGCGCAGCGCCAGCGAGGCGTAGTTGGCCTTGTTGAGGGCGTGGTCAAACCTGCGGGGAAATTGCGGGTGGAGCATGAGGCGGGAGGGAGGGTGGAGGTGTGGAAAGGTGTCACTGGGTTGTGCAGGCGGCAAGGAGGTGCGCGGGGGTAGAACTGGCGGGAGGAGGCGGTGAAGCGGATGCAACGTGGTGGCAGGCGGGCAGGGATGCGAGGCTGCGGGGAGGGCAGGGCTGGGTAGGGGGGGCGCGTGCTGCTGCCGCCGTACCTGGCTCGCCGCTCGGCCGCCGCCGCCGTGGCCGCCGCCGCCTTGTCGGCCGCCCGCCGCTCCCGGGTAGCTCTGCTGCCCAGGTCGCTGCCGCCTGCGGCGACAGGCGGCGTGGCCCACGGCACAAGGCGCGCCCGGCGGTCAGCTGAGGCGGCAGCCCCAGGGCAGCAGCAGGCAGCAACATGGGCGGCACGCGAAGTTAGGCATAGCCTCAGTTTAGAGGGCAGTACCGCACGTACCGCGTGCCGCCGCCTCCGCCTCGAGCGCCGCCAGCTCCTCTTCTGTCAGCGCTTTCTTCTTCAGCTTCCGTTCTTTCTTCTTCTTGGGCTTCTGGAACTGCAGGCGGCGGCAGGAGGGGGGCAGGGCGGCAGGCAGGCGCAGGCTGCTCAGCGCATCGACCGAGCAACGAGGCAAGCGCTCGGCAAGCATGCCAGCAACAGGGACGGTGCAGCCGATGATCCCACCAACCGCACCCAGTAGGCTGCCAGCTGGCAAGACCAGTCGCCCCAGCAAAGGCTGCAGCTGGGCCCACCACGCCACGGCGCGGCAGCCCCTGTGCCCCCCCTTGAGCCCTCAGCAGCAGCTGCAGCCCACCTTTGCCATCTCCTCCTGTGTATAATAGTCTGCCGCCGCCTGCTGCACCACCACGCTGGCATCCTCCACCACCACAGCCCCGCCGCCGCCGCCGCCGCCGCCGCCCGCCCCGGCCGCCAGCCGCGCCCGGATCTCCTCCTGCCGCCTCTGCCGCGCAGCTTCCACGGCGCCGGCGTCGTCGAGCTGCAGCAGGGGTTGCAAGCGGCACCGGCAGGCGCGCAGTCGGTAGGAGCCGACAGGCGGCGGGTGGCAGGCGGCAGCGCAAGGGCTGCACACCCTGCCTGCCACCCCTGCAGCATCCAAGCCTGGTCGGCGCTGTGGCACGAGGCAACCTGTCGAAATGGAGCTGCAACCCGCTCCCCCTGGGGTCCTCCTGCCCTCCAACAGAGCATGCCTACCGGCCGCTCACACACCACCACCACCACCACCAGCCCGTACTCCTGCCACACTCTCACACCTGCATCATCTGCTCCTCCTCCTCATCATACTTGTCCAGCAGGCCGCGCCGCTTGCCGTCCTCCTCCCACAGCGGCTTGGCCTGCTTGCCCGAGGCCTTGCGAGCCTTGGAACGCTCCTTGTCTTCACGCTGCGGCCAGGGGGAGGCAGCCAGGGGGGGGCCAGCGGCAAAGGGTGAGCACACGGGCGGCCAGAGGTAGCAAAGCATGGGGCGGGGCCCAGCGAGCGAAACCGGGCCCACCACCCGCCCACCCACACCTGCACGCCCTGCTCGCCGCCAGCGAGCTTGGGCGGCACCCCCACACTCTCGCACACGCACGCGTCCCAGCGCCATCCCCCCCGGGCCCCACTCCACACGCTGCTCACCGCCAGTATATTCTCCAGTACCATGTCCTGATCATCCTCCACCAGGTTCCCCCGCTCATCCAGGATACCGCGGTCCTCTGCAGGGGCGGGGCAAGGGGTGGGAAGGGGAGCAGGCAGGGCGTGGGAGGGAGGGATGCGCACGGTCACGCGCGCGGCATCATGGGGAGGCGCGGCGCAGCGTCAGGGGAGAGGCCTGCCGGCGGCCTGCTCTC